AAAAAGAAATGAGGGGAAGAAAGCTGGCATTCTTGCTGCAGGAAAAACATGCTAGAAATGGGTTTCAGACAGCTCCCTGATCATATTGCCCAGAAAGTGACATGACCATAGAATTTCAACCACTGGTGTGGAACCAGATAGGAAATATGAATTCAGACCAGCAAACCATTCACATCTTTTTATTCACCCCAATAATGAATTCATCCCCTGGCCCCTGCAAAAAATACACTAAAATGGCCCAACAAAGGTGCTCAAGGATCTCAGGAAGACTATATATTAAGAATTAAAAAATGAAAATCTATAATTTTCAAGAAAAAAAATATTTTCCCATAGTATGAAAGAACTTTATTGACCACAGCAACTTTTTCTTCCCCCCCCCCCCAAGTTTTTTTTTTTGAAGATAGTCAGATGTCCAAACACAACCCAAATGACAGCTATATCACTTGGCCAAGCATTCATGTTTATTGCTATACACTAGAAATGGAGGCACAGGAAAACTGGGACAGGCGATGCTAATGATGCAATGAGGTTGATTTACAAAAGGCAAAAAGACTGTTCACCTTGCAAGGGGATTATCCCAGAACTTAGCGAATGAGGTGAAGATCTGCTTACTTCCATTATCCAATCATGTACAAGGTAATACTGTTTTTTTTTTTCCTTGCATGTGATTGGGTATTCTTTGGGTAGCACCCTCCTAGAGTACATGGCTGGGCAAATTTAGCTTTGGCATCTTTTGTAATCAGCAAAGCAGTAATTGTTTGGCCTGGTCTGTTTAGGATCTCACAGGCTGGGAGTTTGAAGAAGCTTCCAGAGCTTAGGGTGGGAGATTCAAATCAACCCACCTGAATATTTATCAGGTTTGGGTAAATTCCTGGAGGGGAGGTGTCCAGAAGGGGGTCGGAGTGTAGATAATAGTCTAAAGCAGGCCATACATAATGCGAATTCCGAACAAATTTTTGATAGAAAATCAAAAACATTGTTCGTTCTGTAATCCGATGGTGCCACCAATGATTTTGAAAATCGGTTGTTTTTCACGAATTTTCCAGCATGCCTGATAAATGAAATGGGGAGGAACCATGAAAATCGACCGTTGCCATTGCCCCACTAACAGAGTGAAAATCGGCCGATTATTCTTAGGCCAGCCTAAGGCACTGGAGAGCAGGGTTCTTTCTCCCCAGGAGGGCTCCAGAGGTATAGGGCTGCTGCTGCCAGGCAGCCCATGGACTGTGAAAGCTGCTCTAGGAGGCCTTAGAGGTGCCAAGATCAAGGACTTAAATGGACTTTGCTCAGAGGTGAATGGAGAAACACACCACAAAGGATCTGATCCGGAGAGGCTCCATCTAGCTCACTGGGTTGTGTCCGGAGATGGATGGAAGGAGGCAGCCAGGCCTGCTGTTACAAATCATGAGGCCTCATACAGCCTACCTGACAGGCCCCCCCACCCCTGAAAATATAAAAATGTTATTTTCACAAAGAATACACGAAAATCAATATTAGCGGACACAAAAATAACATGACTTACAAAATTCCTTCTAAATCAAAGAGATAAGCAGCACAGTGTCTAAATGGTTAGCACTTCTGCCTGGCAGTACTAGGGTCATTGGTTCAAATCCCAGCCACGGCACCTCCTGCCTGGAGTTTGTATGTTTTCCCCGTGACTGCGTGGGTTTCCTCCGGGTACTCCAGTTTTCTCCCACACTCCAAAGACATACTGGTAGGTTAAATGGATCCTGTCTAAATTAGCCCTAGTATGTGTAGGTATGAATGTGAGTTAGGGGCCTTAGATTGTACACCCCTTGAGGGTTAGGGACTGATGTGAATGTACAATATATACATGTAAATTGTTGGTGCTATATACTGTAAGTAATTATAACAGATAAAACTGCATTGAGTTAATCTATAAAGCTCTGTGTGTAAATGAGGTATTGAGGCTCATTCACATAGGTCCTGTGGCCTGTACAATGTGAATCAGTGTTTTTTTTTAAAGTGTGGCTATTGCTGTGTGCAGGCATCCCATGTTACGCTATGGGGACAGAGAAGCTGTATGAACACAGCCACAGGTCCTAATTTGACAGACATATGGGTGCAGGTGTACAGCCCCAAACACAGACAGTGTACATTGGGGGCCACTCAACCACAAAGTGAAACAAAAACGAGAAGCGCACCAACCTTGCGCATTACCTCAGTAACTAAATGTATTAATTAAAGAATGGTACTCACAAACAGCGAATAAAATCAGGCATGTAGTCCTCAGAGCCTGAGGAAGAAGGCATGGCCTTCGAAACACGTCAGCTGTACTTCAAATTTCCCACACGCCACCCTGGCTGTGTTCAGACAGCCTTTGGCACCTGTACGCGGGTCCCGACGACACAGGGACCGGGAACACAGAAGCCGGATGTGAAACCGGCATCGGCAAGTTCGCCCATCACTGAAAGATCGTTTTTCAATTTCCCCACGGCCAGGGACGCTGCAGGGGACACATCGCGGGAGCGAAGGACAAGGTAGGGACAATAGTATGTTGAAATGGCCCTGCAGGGACTCCCTATACAGCGCTGCATGGTAAGCCCGAGTGTAGCTCGGGGTTACCGCTTTTGGCACTGACATTTAAGGCAGAAAAGAACAGACAAATTCCCCGAGCTACACTCGGGAATACCGCTAGGGAGGTTAAGTGATTTGGTAATGTAAACAAGCTCTTTACTGTTCTGAGCTCCCCATAAGGATGCTTTCACACTGGTACGCTGCGGTTTGCCCGAACCATGGGTGCAGCATAGTTCACCTTCAGCTTTCCTGCAGGCTACCTGTGCTTTGCCATAGACTTCTATTACATCTTGCTGGTGTGGTGCACTTTATGAAAGCACACCAAACCTGCAGGATATAGTAGAAGTCTTTGGCTCAGTGAAGCTAACCCACAAGAAAGTCGCAGGTGCACTGCGCTGCACCCACAAATCAGTGTAAAAAGCAGCCTGATAGTTTATAGATGCTAATATGACCATTGCAAAAGCTATTATGCCCATTGTATGTGTTGTTTAATATACTGATCTTCTTTTGCTCTTGCAGCTGCTGCTGGCATTGCCCTCCAGGCTGCTAGAAAGGATTAGAGGCAGAATGCACTGGGTATCACTCTCCCTGGGACAGGAGCTGGCTCTACAGAGGAAGCGTCAGCCTCCTGCTCCCTCTACAGCCACCTGCTCCCTTCGCCGGCTCACTGCACTCTGCTGCTCTGGGATGGCGAGTTGGCAAGCCCAGATTGCGATCAATGGGTTGCCAACCTCAGGCATGCGCTTCCCTGGTTTGAGATCGCGGGCCACATCAGAGAGCTCTGTGGGCCACAGGTTCAGCACCCCTGTCACAGAATAACCAACGGCTCCAATCACATAAACAAACTGCTGAATGAGCCCTTAATGTTTTAAAATTATTTTTACAATTTGTTAAAATGATTTTTTACAAATGTTTTCAAATCATTTTTTACAAGTGCTTTTTTTTTTTTTTTTTACAATTTTTAAAATGTATTTTTTATAATTTTTTTAAAATACATTTCTTTATTATTTTTTTACATTTTTTTTTTTTACAATGCTGTTGGGTGAAATATCAGGAGTCTAAACACCCTTAACATCTCACCTTTGAGACAGAGGAAGAAACTGAAATAAACTTAATAAACTTTAGTAAAATAAACACAGTTTATTGTGCTTCAGTTCAGGGGCGGACTGACAACTCATGGGGCCCCCGGCCAATAGGGGATCATGGGGCCCCTGTGTCCTTGCCCAAACTCAAAAAAGCCTATGAAAAAGGTACCAGGGGCATCTCATGGGGCCCCCTACTGACCCCGGGCCCTCGGGCAGTGCCCGAGTTTCCAAATGATCAGTCCGCCCCTGCTTCAGTTATGAATGGACACAGGAGCGATCGGTACCGATTGCTCACTGTACAATTCAGAAAAGGAAGGGAAGTAAATAGTTACATATTTTACTGGCTCCTTCCCTCACTCTCCATCCCCCTCTGTACCTGCAGCAGCCAGCGGGAGAGGGAAGCCGGCAGTGCTCGGGGGGCTGGGGTGGGGCCTGTGGCACACAGGGGGAAATTAGATGTGGGTAGTACAGGGAGGGGGATCGGTGTGGCAGGGCAGGAGACAATTACAGAACAATGCCCTGTGTCTGTGTCTCTCCCTTCAGCTGACAGCCAGCAGGAGTGAAAAGGAGGGAAACTGGATTTCAACTACTGCAGTTGGTGGGGGTAGAGTGAGTGGCGTCACTTGCATGTGGGAAATCGTCAGTGGAACGTCCCTCCCGCCCTGGTAATTGGGTTGGTTTGGTTTGTAGGAAGTGGGTTGCAGTTGGGGGGTCCTTGAGGGGGTTTCAAAATGTGGTATGTTGGTAAATGGTGGGACCATCTCAGGTATGGAGTCCTCTGGATGGTCTGGTTCAGTTTAGACTGACCGGGGAGGAGGTAAGGTTGGTAGGGGTCAGTGGTCAGTTAGGATAGTCCCCGAGGCAGTGTTTAGCGGCTGGGGATAGAACCTAGCTTAATGGTACCACGGACTCCAAAACGGTGTGAGGAGGTCGTCGTCAAGGATCCGCAACTGTTCTTGGAGCTGGATTGTTTTACCGGTGAATGTTTGTTTTGTTTGTTATTTATGGTTTTGTTTAATAAAGGGGCTGATTCGGCCATTTAATCCATTTGGTGTGTTGGTGTAGTTATTTAAGGAAACAAGGGGATGGAGATGGGGGGCGGTTTTTCCCAGATTGGGCATAGGGTAACAGGTGTATCTGAACTACCCAGGAAGAGGTTCAAAAAGTAGGGAAAGGATAGTGGACCCCATGGTTCCCAGGCTGCATGGTAGCTTTTCGCATGCGAGTAGTTTGTTGTAATTACTGGATCTCTCCACTGCATTACAGGTCACCCATCTCACAGGGCCATTGAATAGCAGCAGGAAGAGAGGGAACCACCCCCTTTCAGAAAAGTAGGGAAAGGATAGGGAAACACCATCTTTTGAATGCTGGAGACCTTCCCCGTTAAGGATTGGCACCTTTGGGGGGTGGGGGTACCCGAATTTGACAGGTACCCGCTCCCACTTCCGGCCCGATTGCCTAGGCGATCAGAAGCAGAAGGTGTCCTCCCCCCTCCCTCTCTGTAGTCTTTTGGGACACGTGACAGGTCGCAGAAGACTACAGGACCATTCACAAAGCGCAGCGCTACTCGCACATGCGCAGTGGGTACTTGGCTGTGAGGCCGCAAGCTCTCGCAGCTGGATGTCCACACTGAAGATGTCCACCTCCTGGAATACAGGACGGCCGGTGAAACGGGCTGCGGGGGAAACACCAAGGGACCGAGGGACAGGTAAGTGGCTGTTTTTTTAAAATTCGGCAGCTACAGTTTTTTTGTAGCTGCTGACTTTTATTTTTTGAGTGGGTGAGTGGAACTCCGCTTTAAGTCCCAAAGTTATTAATTCACACCATGCCAGAAGTACAGCTTCAGGAAGAGGACCGGGCACCCTGCAGAGAAAATTTCTGCACAGAGCAGCAGCCTGCATGACGTGGGACACACGTCATTACATTTTGGTCACTGCAGTTACAGCACAAAATACAATTTTTGTCTAAACTTTCACTTAAAAATGTTTATTTACTTCTTGTTACGATGATCTAAATGTGTGCAAGTTCAGAGACAATAAAAAATCTCCCTACACCAGATAACTGGCTGAGACATACAGTGTATGACCCCCTGTGGGAACCTCCAACAAGTACATAAACCTTTTCAAACAATATACATTTTTGAACATGCAGATATTCTATTTGTGGCTTGTATGACATACAATGTAATACGGAATTCCATCCTACATTAGTTGCTCTCTCGTTAAAAGGAAGCAAGCAAAATGATGTATGCCTGTACTTATGAGATTTCCACTATATGCAGCTTTTCAAGCAGATTGCCATTATCAAAGATAAAATGGATTTAGAAGTTGTGTAAATATTAGGTTGGGTACTTTCCCATTTCGTATATAACACACTGCTGCCATCTAGTGTATAGAATATAGAATACAATAGAGAGGTAATTTCAGCAAGAATGTTCAACCATAAAAAAAAGACCAACACACCTACAAAAACAAAGCTATCAACAGCCTGGGGAGCCTAAGAGGGTATCAAAATTGCAGGACTAAAGGTACAGCTTTACTATACATTCCATAATCCCAAATCTATATACAGATGGGCAGAGGATGCAATAGCATGCATGCTCTTCAGATGCAAAATGGCAAAACTACAAAACAGAAATGTTTAAGAGTGTGGGGTTTGTTTAGAAAAACAGCTGTGATGCTCAAAAAACTAAATCTCATAACTGTTTTAAAGCTGCAAAATGAGAACAAATATTTGACCATTTGTTATGAAGACATCACTACTGTATGGTTCTTTTAGTGTCTGAAAACAATGCAATGATGTATATGATGAACATAACTCAATATATATACTATTAAAGTCTTAATCCAAGACTGGAAAGAGTAGGGAATGGTTAACAACCCTGTCATTTGTTTCCCATTGTTTGTCCTACTGAGAAGATTTTCATTTACTTCCTGCATGTCTGGCAATAAGGTTTCCAAAAAGGAAATTTCCTCCAAGACAGCTGTCAAAGAAATGTGTATCCATTGGAGGTTTTTCTATCTATTCTTGTTCAGGATCTAACACAAAATCTGTATTTTTGCTCAGTTTCAGTCCATGTGTGTCAGTGGTCATCAAAACACATAAAAGACAGAGTTCATCTCTCTAATGGGAATGCAGACAGCAATAAAAAACTTGAGGTTCTAACACTTTACCATGGGATCCAAAATTTAAAAATGGCTTAGATACAATTTTTGTTGCAATAGTTAAAAAGTACATTTACTTACAGGAGTTCATACATCATAACATCAGTAGCCAAAGCTATGGAAGATAGAGGGACAGAGAGATTTGGGTGTAATTGAGCAAGTATGATTCTGAAAGAGATACAGCTTAGAGCTATGTAGGTCTGCTATCCTCCATAAATGGGATTTATAGGTATCATAGGATTGGTTTACCAAATACGGAAATCAGGCTTTCCGATCTCAACAACCTATAACACAAGGCTCACTTTGGAAAGCTAAATACAGATATTAACATTTGTTTGTACAATTTTTGGAATAGGTTTTTTAAGGGCCTTTTCCCCCAATTTTGTTTAAAAGAAAAAGTTCCATAAATGCTTCCCACGCAGGGGTATCTACCATCAAACAAATTAAACAACATTCAGCCTTCTGGCTCTCTCAGGGATACCACTTAATGTCTGTCTCCTGCAGACTCCAAAAAGGTTGTATTTGCACACAGCAAACCTCTAGCACACAGCTAGTCTGGCTTCCACCTCTCCTTGGTGAAGCCCACCTGACTCCAAGGCAGAGACCTCCCGTCTGCCAGGGTGGAGCCCTCCTGACTCCCGTCTGCTGGGGTGGAGCCCAGAATCATGGCCTGGCCTCCACAAAAAGGCCTGCACGCACCTGTGCAATCAGCGCGCTGGCTCCACTCAAAACATGGGCCCAGGATTGGAGATTTCCACTGTGGCAGGATACTGCACTGCCACTATATATATATATATATATATATATATATATATATATATATATATACAGTTGCAAGAAAAAGTATGTGAACCCCTTGGGATTACGTGGAGTTTTGCATGCATTGGGCATAAAATGTGCTCTGAACGTCATCTAAGTCACAATAGAAGAACACAGTCTGCTGAACATGATACTACACAAACATTAGATGTTGCCATGGTTTAATTGCACATAACATGTAAACATTCACAGTGCAGGGAGGAAAAAGTATGTGAGGCCCTAGCTTAATGACTTCTCCCAGACCTAATTGGAGCCAGGAGTGAGCCAACCTTGACTCCAATCAGTGTGATGATATTGGATGTGTTGCTGACAGCTGTCCTGCCCTTAAAAAACACACACCTGTTTTGGGTTTACTGGTTTCAAGAAGCACTGTCTGATGTGAACCATGCCTTGCAGAAAAGAGCTCTCAGAAGACCTACGATCAAGAATTGTTGACTTGCATGAAGGTGGAAAGGGTTACAAAAGTATCTCCAAAAGCCTTGATGTTCATGTGTCCACGGTAAGACAGACTGTCTACAAATGGAGAAAGTTTAGCACTGTTGCTACTCTCCCTAGGCGTGGTCATCCTGTAAAAATGACTGCAAGAGCACAGCGCAGAATGCTGCATGAGGTAAAGAAGAATCCCAGAGTGTCAGCTAAAGACCTACAGAAATCTCTGGCACATGCTAACATTTTTGTTGACACATCTACAATAAGGAAAACATTAAACAAGAATGGAGTACATGGGAGGACACCACGGAGGAAGCCATTTCTGTCCAGAAAGAATATTGCAGCACGTTTGAAGTTTGCAAAAGAGCATCTGGATGTTCCACAGCACTACTGGCAAAATATACTGTGGACAGATGAAACCAAGATTGAATTGTTTGGGAAGAACACACAACACTATGTGTGGAGAAAAAAAAGGCACAGCACACCAACATCAAAACCTCATCCCCACTGTAAAACATGGCGGAGGGAGCATCATGGTTTGGGGCTGCTTTGCTGCCTCAGGGCCTGGACGGATTGTTATCATTGATGGGAAAATTAATTCCAGAGTTTATCAAGACATTTTGCAGGAAAAACGTACGCCAACTGAAGCTCCGCAGAGGATCGGTGATGCATCAGGACAATGACCCAAAGCATACAAGTAATTCAACAAAACAATGGCTGCAACAGCACAGAATACGCCTTCTGGAGTGGCCCAGTCAGAGTCCTGACCTCAACCCGATTGAAATGCTGTGGCATGACCTTAACAGACCGATTCGCACCAGACATCCCAAGAATATTGCTACACTGAAACAGTTTTGTGAAGAGGAGTGGTCCAAAATTACTCCAGATCATTGTGCAGGTCTGATCTGCAACTACAGGAAACGTTTGGTTGAGGTTATTGCTGCCAAAGGAGGGTCAACCAGTTATTAAGTCCAAAGGTTCACATACTTTTTCCTCCCTGCACTGTGAATGTTTACATGTTATGTGCAATTAAACCATGGCAACATCTAATGTTTGTGTAGTATTATGTTCAGCAGACCGTGTTCTTCTATTGTTGTGACTTAGATGACGTTCAGAGCATTTTATGCCCAATTCATGCAAAACTCCAAGTAATCCCAAGGGGTTCACATACTTTTTCTTGCAACTCTATATATATATATATATATATATATATATATACAGGTGAAACTCGAAAAATTTGAGAATAAGTTCATTTATTTCAGTAATGCAACTTAAAAGATGAAACTAATATATGAGATAGACTCATTACATGCAAAGCGAGATAGTTCAAGCCGTGATTTGTCATAATTGTGATGATTATGGCTTACAGTTCATGAAAACCCCAAATCCACAATCTCAGAAAATTAGAATATTGTGAAAAGGTGCAATATTCTCGGCTCAAAGTGTCCCACTCTAATCAGCTAATTAAGCCATAACACCAGCAAAGGGTTCCTGAGCCTTTAAATGGTCTCTCAGTCTGGTTCAGTAGGAATCACAATCATGGGAAAGACTGCTGACCTGACAGTTGTGCAGAAAACCATCATTGACACCCTCCATAAGGAGAGAAAGCCTCAAAAGGTAATTGCAAAAGAAGTTGGATGTTCCCAAAGTGCTGTATCAAAGCACATTAATAGAAAGTTATATGGAAGAGAAAAGTGTGGAAGAAAAATGTGCACAAGCAGCAGGGATGACCGCAGCCTGGAGAGGATTGTCAGGAAAAGGCCATTCAAAAGTGTTGGGGACTTTCACAAGGAGTGGACTGAGGCTGGAGTCAGTGCATCAAGAGCCACCACACACAGACTGATCCTGGACATGGCCTTCAAATGTCGTATTCCTCTTGTCAAGCCGTTCCTGAACAACAAACAACGTCAGAAGTGTCTTACCTGGGCTAAAGAAAAACAGACCTGGTCTGTTGCTCAGTGGTCCAAAGTCCTCTTTTCTGATGAGAGCAACTTTTGCATCTCATTTGGAAATCAAGGACCCAGAGTATGGAGGAAGAATGGAGAGGCACACACTGCAAGATGCTTG